GCACAAATCCAATAATACTTCAGTCTGTCCACAGCAGCAGGACTGTGCCGGAGATCAGAGCGCAAAGATGCCAGAGTGTGTCGGAGGGTCACGAGTGTGGCACTCTGATCCACAGCAGCTTCTCAGCTCTACTTTTAAATCCCAGCTGAGCTTATTTGTCCAACTATAACAAACCAACTACTCCTACAGTCAGCTGGGAGGACAACATCAAGTTTTTCCTCCATGTGTTTCTTCTTTTTCTACACTATGCCAGTATTTTTAGACACAAGAAGCTGAACAAATGTGAGCACAACTGGCTTAGAAGATCAGATATGATAAAAATAACTTGCTGAATGAATAAATAAGCATAAAAAAGAAACAATAAACTGGTAAATGGACTGGTTCTAATAATAATGATATAGCTCTTTTTGACTCTGACTGAACACTCAGAGTTAAATGATATAAAGGTCTCCTCTAGGTTACATATTTGTGCATCTCTGGGTCTTTTCCAGTGTGGTTATTATTCACGTCTGACCACTTGCTGCTGTCCTTCAAAAGTCTGTGTCTGAAACTGACAGTGATGATAACAACCAATCGCAGTAGTCTTAAATAAACTCATCTATCAACAAATCACAACAGCAGTCACCACACGGTGCTTCATATTGTACAGTAAAGACCTGCAACAGTGCAGAGAAAACCCCAACAATCAAACAATTCCCTGTGAGCAAGCACTCGGTGACAGTGGGAAGGAAGAAACCTCATCAGAGCCGGGCTGAGGAGAGGAGCATGTGCTGGGATTTGTTCTCCAGACTCAAACGTTACAGCAGGACTTCCTGTAGACAAAACCATCCATCCTGTAAACAGCGTAGAGACGCACAAGCAGGCTTTGAGGGCCTGCTTGTGTCATCATGTTGTATATCCATCATTTACAGAATCAAAAAAGTCTGTTTCTTCTTGTATCGCTGTTTCCTGCTCTAATTTGTGTGCTTGTGTTTGACAGCAGATAAATTGTCAAGTGGAACTTCAGCTCTGCTCTGAGGTCCTGATCACAGGTTAATGATAAAACACGATACTGCAGACAACTTCAAAAGAGCAGAGAGTGAAGAAAAGAAAGTGAAAGAAACAAAAGTCAAGCGAACTCAGCATCAATATGACTCACACGTCCGTCCCGTCGCGGCGGCTGCCGGTCCGTCTCCCTCGGGGTAAACAGGAGTGATGGAGACTTTGTACTCTGTGTCTGACAGCAGAGGCTGCAGAACCAGGCTGTTCTGACCAGTGGGCACTGTTCTCTGCAAGCACAGAAATACCAGAGTCAGGACAGCTTTGAAAGTTTGACTTTAACATTCAGACATTTCCCCATCCTCGGTCTCTCTGCACTGATGTGACATTTCACCTCCCAAAGTTCAGCTGCCAGTCAAACAGAGAAACTGCACTCGGGCGTTTTCTTCTTTCTAATCTCCACAGTTTCCACAGCTCATCGTCCAGTTTTGCTTTGTAATGTTAGACGTGTGGATTTTTGTAGCTGTTGCAGCACATACGCTCACTGCAGGATCACTTCATGTAGATCAGATGTAACAGCAGGATAACGTGACTGCTGAGGTTTCTCGATTTAACAGGACCTCGAGTTTGCTTTAAAAAAATAGAGAAATGATGTTTCTGCAAACCCAAAAAACGTGTGCACGTCTTCAGTGATTTGATTATAATTTGTGTCCACGTGCAGAGATACATTTGCGTCTAAATGATTGTTTCTTTGATCGTTCTCGTTACCCTCCCTCTTCCTTCACAGCATGATCGAGCTGACGGACTGCGACTGAGAATGTCTTCAAGCATTCAGCATTCTTCCCTGTTTGTTGATGTTTGTGGTAGCATTTCTGTGTTTGCATCCAGTCTTTAAACGCACTCTCAAAACTTTTGAATGAATTCTGATGAAACGCTGCAGGGACGTCGAGGAGCCGTGTTAACAATTCATCGAGGCTTCGCCCACTGAGGTCATCAAGGTCAACCTGAAGATTTATTGGTCGAAAACTGACATAACAT